GAGGAGCAGCGGGCGCCTTGGCCAAGGGGCCAAGGCGCCCGCCAAGTTGCCGCGAGGGGCCGACGCGAACGTTGACCCCCAAACGGCGACTTGGCGAGGAGGAGGAGGAGGAGGAGGATAAGGACTAGGAGGAGGAGGAGGAGGGCGAGGAGTGCACGTACTCCAAGAGGAAGAGACGAGGGCAAGCGGACACGAAGCGAGACGAGGGCAAGATGTCCGCCCGCTCCAGGCCGACCACCCGCGACTACTTCCAGAGCAGGGCTTTGGCGGCGCTCAACCCTTCAGCAATTGTGGCTGGGGTCGGCGCGGCGTGCTTCAGTTTGTTATAGATGTGCAAGGCGAGCACGATCCGCTGAATCGTCCGCGTCAACGATAGCTCGTTCGCGGGTTCAGACGGATATGCTGCAGCGGGGCCCAGGCCCCAGCGTGCGAGCGTGCTGCGGAGGGGGGGCGAGTCGGGGGGCCAGAGGAGGCTCAAGAGGACCGAGCAGGAGAGGTAGTGAGGGAATGAATCAGGTGCCGCTGGGCACCCAAACACACACGTCTTCTGCTGGAGAACGTGCATGCGGTGGGTCGTTGTCCATCCGCCTGCGAGGGTCTTGTACGCTGCCCAGTGCCAGCTCGGACGGACGGTGCGCAGGGCATTCGACAGAGCAGCCCAGCGGGTCGCGAGCTCTGGGGGCGGTGGTGGCTGAGGAACGGCCCAGGCTGCGATGCGCTTCTCGAGCGTGACTTTGAAATGCGAAGGGAGGGGGGCCCGCTGCAGTGCGAGCGCGACCGCACGCTGCACCTTGGGGCGGCGCGGTGGCTCAGCACTCGGGGCCTCGCGAATTTCGCGGGCAGCTGCGCGGATCGCCGCGGCCACTGCGGCTGCTGGGAACGGGGCGGCACTCTTGCCGCACGCTACAGCATGGTAGAATTGGACGATGGCCGCGGGTTCTTCCCAGAAAAATGGGGACCACTGACCTTGAACCCACCGATGGAAGGTGTGAGCTGTACTCTCCTCCCACGCGGTGTCCCGCAGGCGGGTGTGGAAAGATTCCCATTCCCCTCGGAGCGTGTAAGTGGCAGAACGAATGGCAGCGGCGACCGTTGAAATCTGAGCTGAGCGAGGGACAGGAGGCGGGCGCCACCCCGCCATGGCAATGAGGTCTACGTTGCGAAATGTGTTTGGTGGCAGGCTGAGCATCTTATGGAAAATGTAATGTTCCCGACGGGCAATCTTCAGATCGAGCGAGAAAAACTGCGAGACATAGCTGAGCGTTGAAACGACTGATGTGCTGTGGAGGCAAACGGTGGCGTCACTGCCACCCTGCGCAACCTGAGGAGTATTCCCGCGCTGCCACCAGTCCTGCCCAGGAGCGAGCCATTGGCGAGCAAGGGTGGCCGCAGGTCCGAGGAAGGCCCCAAGGTACTTGGCTCGCCCCGACGCCAAAAAGCCGCCCCAGGGAGGACAGAGCTCGGCCAGGAGCGCTTTCGTTTGGGCGATGGTGGCAGGCGACGACTTTGCCCAAAGCGGGACGATGACACACTTGCGGGGCTTCAGAGAGAGGAGCGCAAGCTCCTCAGCTGCGGCAAAGGGCTCAGAGGCAGCTCGCAGCGTGCTGAACGAGAACGTGAGGAGGCCAGCGTCGTCCGCGCAGACGCCCAGGTAGCCCTTGTCGCAGTCAGACATGCCGCCGGCAGACTCGACGAACGAGGCGATGTGGCGAACGAGCGGGTCCATGGCGATCGCCCACGCCGAGCCGCTCGCAGGGCAGCCCTGGGCCACACCAGACTCAATCGGGAACGTGAAGTGGCGAACGCCATCGACCTTGAGGAAACTGTTGGGCGCGTGGCACAGCTGGCGGAAGAGGCTCATGAGGCCCTCGGGGACGCCGAAGCGCTCCAGCGACGCGAAGAGCCATGCACGTCCGAGCGAAGGGAACGCCGCCGCGAAGTCGAAGCTGGTGAAGACGGGCTTGTGCTTGTCGGCATCAGGGCGAACTCCAGCGCGGCGCACCTCGGCGTCGAGGTTGACGATGTGCTTGGTGAAGTTGCGGCCCACGACAAAGCCCGGTTGCGAGTAATGTGTCCGCTCTGCCACAGCGGATTTGATGAGGAAGTTGGCCGCGCCTGCGATGGCCTTGATGTCTGTGTTCTTGAGAGACAGCGGGCGGGTGTCCTCAGGCAAGCGGTCCGCGGTAAGCTCGCCAGTGTGGTTGTCGCCCTTCGGCAGGAACGCGAAGTCAGAGTCGTTCAGGTCGTGGATGAAGTCGGGGTTGGAGCAGAGGTGCCAAGCGAGGTCTTCCAGCAGGTCGAGAGACGCGCCCATGGCAAGCCAGGCGCGGTGCGGCAAGAGGTCGGGCCCAGGCGCAGGACGGCGCAGCGCGAAGCAGAAAGCCTCTGATGTGCGCCTTGGTGGGCGCGCCGACGTCGATGATGGGATGGTTGGGCATGTGCTGGTCAATGCACTGCTGGACCTCGGCGACATCGACGTGCTTGCGCTCGACGACGGGCCGCCAGTGGGCGCGGAGGGCATCCGCCACCGCGCAGCTCTCTCTGGCTATTCCTGGGTGGCCCTCGGGACCGGTGGTCTTGATTCCCTGGAGGGCCAGGCGGCGCTTCCAAGGGGCCCAGAGCAGGGCCCTGCGCTGGGAGGAACGGGTGATCTTTCTGAGCTTCTTGGGGTCGATGGCTCCTGGGGAGCCTCGCGGCAGCTGGGCTGCGCGCTGAGCCAGAGATCGCTGCCTAGCCTCGAAGTCACGGTGCAGCGCGGCAGACTTCATGGCGAACTCGGCAGCGTCCGAGAGCGCGATGTGTCCGTCGTCGATGGTGAGGAACGTGGTGCCAAGCTCGGTGGCGGACTGCAGACGGCGAGCAAGACGAATGTCCTGGCGCCAGACCGCGCGCGAGATCGAGCGTGCCGTGATCACCTGGCCGCCGGAGTGGTTTGACTTGCCGATCTCGCCGGCAGCGCGGCTGACCCAATCATCGCGGACAAGCCTCGCAGCCTCGACCATGAGGGTCTTGTGTGCGCGCCAGCCGGTCTCGATCGCCCCGTGGCGCGTGACGGTGTGATCTAGCAGCTGCTGGAGGTACTTGGCGTACGAGGGGTCGCGGAAGATCGCGGGCGAGATCGCCTGCTCCTCGATCGGTGTCTTCGGCTTGATGCCGATGGAGTACGAGACGATGGCGTGGTCACTGAGGAGGCTATCCGAGAGGATGGCAGCGTCGCGTGCGATGCTGACGCAGGAAGTGAGCTCGAGCATCGCGTGCGACGGCAAGCTGATGAAGATTCTGTCGATGGCCGACGCGGAGTAGTCATCAGGGATCTTCTGACCCGGGTCAATCCAGACCCGGGTCAGCAGGAAACCAAAAACTGCAATGCAGGAAAAAAAACTGCAACGCAGGTCTTCGCAAACCCGGGTCAGCCAATATGCGCGGCCGCCTGGCGGCCACGAGCGGCTCCCAAACCCGGGTCAGCCCGAGGGGGTCTTCGCAGGATCCTGCAGGATCTGGCGCCCTGGCTGACCCCCGTCTGCACTGACCCCCGTCTCAAGGCTCCCGAAGTCAGCCTTGTTGAAGCGCGCCGGGAGGTCCGATTCGATCTCGAGCATGCTGTCGCAGAGGGCCTTCCAAAAGGGCTGCTGCTGACGCGCGCTATTGTCCAGTGCCAGGCGTGCATTCTGTGGTCGAGGTTGGAAGAAGCTGTTCGGCGGGCGGCTGGCCGTGTTGAAATCGCCCAGAGCGAGGAAGGTACGGTGCTGGTAGTTGGCCTCCGCCCACGCGCGGTGCATGTGTCATGAGCGCTGGATGCGCTCGCGACCCCGAGCGTCAATCTCGTAGTTGTGGACGTTCATGATGACCATGGAGTTGCGCGAGGTGGCGTTGGTGATGGCGACCGCCTGGACGCGGCCTTTGACGATCTCCTCATGGCTGATGATAGGGAGCTGCTCGGGTTGCAAGAGCTCGAGCTGCGCGTGTGGGAGCCGCGGAATAAGTAGAGCATTGTGAAAGCCGGGACCTGCTACAGCTGGGGTTATGTTGAAACAGGCAAAGTAGGGTTTGAGATATGATCTAAGGTAGGTTTCAAAGTAGGGGCGGAGCTTTGAAGTACGTTTCAAAGTAGCATCACAAGTAGGGCGAAATTTGGCCCTGATGTAGTTTACGATCATAAGAAGTACTTTCGAAATACTGCGCGTCAAACAACAGACGCATTCTCGAGTAGTTCAGCCTCCGCAAACAAAGTGCATAACCCTTGAAGAAGTAGTAGCCAGCGCAACAACGCATTTGGCTTATGAAGCATTGTCGCGGCCAGACATTTCGCAGAACGTGCGCTCTTTTCGACCTAGTAGTGTTTGATCCATTATATTGGCGTTCGTCGTTGTAGTGGTTGTAACAATACCACTGGCCTCCGTTGCGGAGGTAGTAGTGGTAGCAGTCGTAGCTGATACTAGTAGGGGTAGTCGTAGTGACCGCCAGTGGTGGTAGTAGTGGTGGTCATAGGAACGGCGACTGTTGTGGTCGCATCAAAGGGATACGCTTCCCCTTCGGCGTCAAACCGCGGCGGGGATGGCGCAAACGGTTCAACTGAACAAACTTCTGCCGCAGTGTTACTTCATCCTTAGGCCTCTCCTCCACATCTTAGCCTCATCTTTACCCCATTATCATTCTCCCTCCCTCCCTCCTCCTCTCCCGCATCCCGGCGCCCTCATCCGACGCGAAGGATGGGAAACGCGAGGGGGGGCAAGGCGAAAACACGGAGGGGGAGGAGGGGGAGGGGGAGGAGGGAAATGAGGATGGCGCGAGGTAAGAATGGGACGATTCGGATGGGTTGGAAGAGGAGCAAGCGAAAGGGGGAGCGAGGAGGAGGTTTCTTATTGAAACGCGGTGCATCTTGGAGCTCTTGTCGGGGCCCTCTCTTGCGTTGAAACCCCGTCGCCCCCGTAAGTCATCGTCAACATCATCATCATCAACATCACCCCGTAACCATTTTGGCTCAAACGTTTCGGGCCCCGATGCTCGGCCACGAGGGCTGGGGGGCCGTCGCCGGGGACGACAGCTCCAGCGAGGATGGCGGCTGGGGGCAGGTCACCGTGAGCCCCCTGCCCTCCGACGGAGGCGTGGGCTCGCAGGGCGAGCCCGACGAGGTCGCCTTGCCTGGCGAGGACGAGCCTGGCGGGGAGCCCGCGCCTTCGGCCCAGGGGCGGCCCGACGTGTTCGCAGACGGGTTGACGGTAGACGAGCTCGAACGAGCTGGATCGGCCAAGAAAAGGTCGGTCGCGTGGGCGCCAGGGAGGCTGGCCTTGAAGCAGGCTCGCCAGCAGTTGTGGCGTCTGAGTGCTGGCGCTCCCGCGCCGCTCCCTGCAGGTGAGGGTGGTGATTCCGAGCTCGCACTCCCTGCAGGTGTTGGTGGTGATGCCGATCTCCCCCTCGCACTCCCTGCAGGTGTTGGTGATGCCGATCTCCCCCATCGCGCCCGCTGCAGGTGTTGGTGGTGCTGCCGATCTCCCTCTCGCGCCCGCCGCAGGACATCGCGCACGGCAGAAGCAGTTGGAGCTGGATGCCGCGCTGTGCGTTGAGAGGCTGAGTGCGCTCGCCGTGGCTCGCGTTGGCTCATCGGCCGATGCCCCGCAGGAGACCTTGGGCCGTGCTGGTGAGTACCTCCTGAAAGAGAAGACGTCGATCCTCCCTTGGCTTGTTGAATGTCGCGATGTATTTGGCATGCGTCGCGAGAGCGCTGAGAAGTTTTTGTGCGCCACGGCCTGCGCATCGTTGCTGGTGCAGTGGTGCGATGCCCGCTCAATGTGTTCCAGCCTTGTTCGAGAAGTTCGAGAGCTGGGTGGCAGGGCCGTCACCTTTACAGAGCTGTTGAGGTACGACGAGACACCAATGTACACGAGGCTCGCTGACCGTGATCATCTTCCTGCACCTGCTGCGAACGGATTTCCTGCAGATGGCGTTGTTCGGCCGAAGCAGCTGGTGCCCATCAGCTGCACTTGCGAGACGTCCCACGTGGCCAAGCTCCGCAACACGCAAATGATGTATGCGATGTTGTTTGACATTCCTGACCCCGGCATGGTCTCAGTTCAGATGCCAATGGATTGTCATATACAGTCGATGGCCCGAACGACCGCGGAGGCGCTGTACGAGTCCTTAGATCGGAGCTCCCCGATGATGGCCGACGTCGCGGCTTTGTTCGAGCGCGTGCAGAGAGTCGTCACCACCGACGGGGCTAGCTCCATCAAACGATACGAGCGGAACTTGGCCAGAGAGCGAGTGGCCACGAGTAGCACTTTGAAAATATTGTGCGAGATACATCGGGTGTACGGCTTCTACAAAACTGTTTTTCTTCAGGTCAAGTTGCGCACCAGCATGATGGCCCATGTTGCGAGAGCACTCTGCGCGTCGGATGCGATGCGACAGTTTCGCTCGGAATTGCGGCGCGTGATCTCGAGGGACTTGGTGCACCACGAGAACACCAGGCCCTCGCGCGCAGGCATTGAGCACAACACTATGGTACTGGATACGCTCCTCGAGCCCACCTCGGGCAGCATGCGGCTGAGGCGATCCGCCATCGCTTCCTTGGCCAACGGTCGCTGGTCCGACACGAGCATCGTGGAGCACTGCTGCCAGGGATGTTGCGAATCCAGAGAGGATTGCGTTTCAAAATTTATCACATTGTTCGTTGCCTGCGTGGCCAATGGCAAACCGCCTGTGTGGCCCAGCAGTCGATGGACAGGCTTCGACGAGTGCGCGGACTGGTTAGGATTGCTGGAGCTTTGCCACGGGCTCCTCACGCGAACCTTCGTCGAGTGGACTGGCTTCGACAAGACTGACCTCGGGGATCCGCTGGAGCGCAATTTCGCCCTCGGCATGTTAGAGAACTTGAACGGCGCTGGGGGGCATCTCGCAGATCTCGAGCTTGGCGAGGATGAGGACGATGCACGCGCAGGCGCTCGCGGGCAGCAAGAGGGTGGGAAGGCAGCGCAGCAGAATGAGATCACCCTCGACGATCGGCGGAAGGACGAGTCGAAGCACCGTGCGTATGGGGTCAGGTGGTTGTGGAAGTGTTTCCCCCAAGTCCACCTCATTCTCATTCGTCGCATCTTGAAGCCTCTTCTTCAAATCATGAACTCGTACTTGAAGCGGGCAGGCGAGGTCCATCGCAGGCGCATTAGCTTCCGCAACTTGCAGCACAGGTCTGGCATCGGCCCCGATATGATTGTGGACGCCTGTCCTTTGATCGCAGCAAGCTGCAGCGTGAACGAGACGGACTTTTTCGACTGCCTGCGGACGGTGATGTGCGCCTCGCGCGAGTGGGATATCGTGCCAGTCAGCTGCCGCATTTCAACGTTGCGCACGCGCGCATTCTTGATGCTGAGCCAGCTGGGGTGCATGTGCAACGGCCTCAGGGAACTCCACCAAGGCTGCCCGTTCAAGCTCTTCCGTTTGATTGGGGAGCCTGAGTTGGCAACGGGGATCGTGAACGATTGCGAGGACCTCAAGGACGGTTGGAGCAAGGCCATCATCAGCAAGTACGCGGCTGAGAGCCCCGATGGTCTGGCTTCCGTTGAATGCATCGGGGAGTTGCTTCACGTCGCGTCGGCCACGCCCCGGGAGACGGCGAGCGTGGAGGCCAGCCACGCAACGATCAGGAGGGCTCTGGTTGGGCTGAGCGTGCAGACGCACGCCTTGCACATCAAGCGCCTCTCAGCCCAGAGGATCTGCCAGGTCTTCAGGAAGAAGGGCCGACGACTGCGGAGTGGCTTTGTTCGACCAGCACGGAAGACGGCACTGAAGACCATTACTCCATCGAGCGGCGCCGAGGGCCCGAAGAGACGCAGCAGAGGGCACGGTGGCGCTTGGCGAGCTTCCATCAGAGAGCGCACGCTGGGCACGTCAGGGCGCCCAGACTTGCACGAGGCATCCTTGGCGCACGCTGCGTTGAGCCCAGAGGAGAAGGCCGAGTATGCCAAGCGAGGCGCCGTTGCCACCAGGGCAGCGAGAGCAGGCGCAACCCGCCCGTTCGGCGACGACCAGGCGCGCCATGAGGAGAGTTGCGAGAGACAGGACGAGGATCGCGCTGCAGGAGATGGCCGAGGGCAGGAAGGCGTTGTGCGACATTGCTTCCGCAGCTGGTGAGAGTGCCCTGGCCGTGCCGATGGACGTCTGCAGCTTCAGTGGCAGCGCTGCCGCAATCGAGACATCCATGGCCAACATCGTCGACTTGAACCGCCAGCTTCGTTTGGAGGCGGCGTGCTTGCGCATGGAAGGGAAAAAGATCGACGATGCCCTTGTCAGGTGGTACGACACGGGAGGCCAAGAATTGGTTCAGTCTATCTTCGGGCAGATGGATGTTTCGGCACATCGGCGTGGCGAGTTCATCCCATCCACTTCATCTTCAGCCTCCTTGACGTCGTTCGTGTGGGAGTCCCTCGACATCAGTGAAAGGGTGAAGAGGGCCCTGTCATGCGGCGATGAAGTTACTAGGAACAATCTCACCGATGTCTTAGCAAACATCTGGTCTGGATTTCACGAGACAGTCGGCCACGTTGATCGTCCAGAGTGGGATGACGACGAGCCCAAGCCCGCGGTTTGCATCAGGGTGGGCTTCTGCGTATGCACAGGTGCTGGACGCGACGTAAAGAAGTTCATCGATGGACTTGATGTCGCCCTGAAGCGTGCTTGTCCACCTGGTATCATGCGAAAGCAGCTCCAACCCAAAGCAGAAGGCTTCATTTTCTTGTTTGGCCAGCGGCAGCCGACGGAGGAAGAGGCCAAGGACTTGAATCTCGACGCCGACAGTTTCATCGATGGGCTTCCGCTTGCTGAAGGGGTTTGGCACCACATTGACCACCAGAGTCTATCACCATGGAGATCGGACTTTCACAGGATGAGTTGCGATTTCAGTTCTGGAGACTTCGTGGTGCCATCCAGTGCTCGACTGACGGCCACTCAAGATTTTTCAAGTTCGTGGCGGGCGATGATTGATTTTGACCGAGCACTGCGCTGGTGCGCGTGCGTCTACACTGTATCTTGGAAGTGCGCCCCCTTGGGTACCATCACAGCCGACTGCGTCGACGTTCAGCTTATGGAGCCACCCGTGGATACAGGCGCGCCCGTCTGTCGGGTTGTGTGGTTGCCCCCCTGGGCGAAGGTCAAGAAGAAGCGAGGGAAGAAGGCGAAGGGGGAGCAGGTGGAGTCTGGCTGGGACCTCGTCCCTCTCCCCGACGCCCCTGGAGACTGCGGTGGCGATGCTGATGAATCCGACGGAGGCGGCGATGGGCAGTCGCAGCAGGATCCAGACGAAGATGGGCACCACGACCCTCCTTGCGCTTCCGGTGGCGCTCTGCTGGACGAGGAGGCCGAGTGCTCCTCCACGAATTCTGGTGACGTGAAGGACGTGCACGGGGATGTCTTGTTGGACTTAGAACACTGTGGCGAGTTCCCAGACTTCCCGAGCTCTTCCCCATCATCCAAAGCTTCCAGCGTTGACCTTGAGGGCCAGCTCGGCCTGGAGAAGGCGAAGAGGAGCCTGTCGATCCTGGCGGTTGCGGCGGCTCCGACGATGACCCGTCGACGCCGATTGACCCGCCAGCGCCTCCGCCTCCGCTACCGCCTCCAGCACCACCTCCGCCACCGCCACCACCACCACCTCCGCCTGGGCCAGTACTCGGGGCAGCAGGTGAGCACGACGAGAGCATCCTCGTCCCTGGTGGCACGCTGGCCTTCAACGCGAAGAAGGGAGATTTCATAGCCTATTGCGCTCACCACGGAGGTGGTAAGTTATGCAACAAGACGCGGACGTCCCATGCGGGTGGTCGCAAGGCCCAGGGACGGCCTATAGGGTTTCTCGTTGCTTGGTTGGGCATGCACCATCAAGCTCACACGAACCACGATCACAAGCACAACGTCAGACCAACTTGGGCGGAGAGGAAGGCTGCTCGTCGATATTTCCATACACTCGGTCCCCTCGCAGCGGGGTTGCTCGGGAAGGAGCGGCCCCTTGTTGCAGGCGCTGATGTGGATTCAGAGCCAGATGCAGCGCCTTGATCCATACAAATGGTGACAGTGATGCGAATCCGTCCTCACCATCACTACCGCCCACGCCTTTGCTCTCTCTTGCCCTGCCCTCTCTCCCTCACCCTCATCCTTGCTCAATTCCTCCCATCCTTCGATTGCCAGTGTGCGAATTGAATCGTGTGCGTTTCATTGCAATTGTACTTCACGTTGATTGCCCTTGGTTGAATAGTGTAGGCCTGCGGCCGAACATCTCCCAGACCCCGCGGCGTGCTGGCTGGTTGGTTAGTTGGTCCCGCACGTGTCCTGCCAGTTTCGTGAGCTTCTGGGAAGTCCGTTGATTGCCCTTCCTTGAATCGTCCAGGCCTTAGGTCTAAAACCCTGTGGCGTGCTGGCTGGTTGGTTGGTTGGTTGGCGATTGCCAAATCAGGATGTAAACTTACATAGACCTAAACATACATGTGAACTTACTTGGGGTTGTGTAAGCATGCGCGTAAACTGACATAGGCCCAAGCAGAATATTGGTGGGCAGCGCGCGTGCGTAGATCCCAGACCTCGTGCTACATAAGTACGCCGCCATGTCATCTGCTGACATTGATAACCCGAACCTCAAAATCAAGTTGGAGATCGGGAACCTGCCGCCAGAACTCCAGAATAGGAGCTTCCGTTTCATGCTGCCTACAGAGATTAAGCTCGTCGCTCCGTGTCCAACAGGGGAACCCCAAGTGCATCAGGAATCCCGCCCTGTTCAGCTGGGCCCAGCAGGCGAGGGCCCCAACAGTATCGTGCCAGAGCCAGGTCCCTGGGTATCTGACCAGAAGGGGGGGGTTAGCATGCTGTACTGGATCGGTTTGGATTCGTTGCAGCCCAAACGCCAACGGGAGCGCAAGTAAAGTTCAACGAGTCCAGATCGATTGCACATCCGCCCTCCCCCTTCAGTCAGTGTATTTTTTGTCACGCAGGTTCACGTGCCGACAAGCCAGCTGCTGCCTCAGCAGCTTCGTCGCCGCGCCCGTCAGCATCACCGAGAGCGTTGACAGCCGAGCCAGCTGCTGGCTCAGCAGCTTCGGCACAGCAGCCGCCAGTACCAGCACCGACAGTGTCAGCGCACATCGCGCCATCACCAGTACCAGCACCACCGACAGTGCCAGCGCGCATCTCGCCATCACCAGTAGTGCCCGCAACGCAGTGGCTGTCCAAGAAGTCTTCGAGTATGGGTTCTGATGGCCGTGCGCTGCTGAACCGCGTTGGCAGCCTAGAGATATTGCCCCAGGCAGCCAGGATGAGGCTCGATGGCAACGACGCGCCCGACCAGCACCCGACGCGCCCGACCAGCACCCAGAGGCCCGATGGCAACGACGCGCCCGGCCAGCACCCAGAGCACCCGATCGAGATCCACGACGATTCGTACGATCCTGGGTCGGAGTCCCAGGTCCTCACTGAGAGTGTTCTCGCGGCTGCCATTCGGTTGACGGGCAATGACCCCTATGCTGAAGCTGGTGACACGCTCCCCGAGGATTCATTGGGTCGTTGGAGTTTCATTCGCATTGGCTGCGGAATCGGCCTCGATCATGGATTGAGGGAAAATTTCAACGTTGTTTCTGAGAGAGCGGAGGAGGGAGGATGAGGATATCCTTGCGCTTCGCGTAGCACGGCCGTGATTTGGGCAGTTCGTCTTGGGAGGTTGTCTTGGGGGGTTGTCTTGGGGGTATATCTTGGGGGGGGGTGTCTTGGGGATTGTCTTGGAGGGCTGTCTGGGGGGGTTGTCTTGGGGATTGTCTTGGAGGGCTGTCTGGGGGGGTTGTCTTGGAGGGCTGTCTAGGGGGGTTGTCTGGGGTTGTCTTGGAGGGCTTTGGGTCTTTTCATCCTTCCTCTCATTTCCTCCTTCCCCCTTCCCCCCCTTCTCCCTCCTCTCCGTGCACCCCCATTCCCTCCTTCCCTCCCTCCCTGGCGCGCGCGCGCCTCCTCTCCCTTCTCCCTCCGCCATCCTCTTCCCTCCTCTCCTCCCTCCTCCTTCTCCCTCCCTCCGCCCTCCTGCTTCACCCTCTACCCCCCCGCCTTTCCCCTCCTTCTCGCCTTCCTCCCTCCCCCTCCTCCCCTTTTCCCTCCTCGACCCCATTTCCATTCTCATTCCCTTTCTCCTCCTCCCCCGCACCGTCCCTCCTCCCCTGCTCCTTTTACCTCTCTCGTTCTGCTCAACTATCCCCCCTCCCTCTTATCGTTCCTCCCTCTCCCTCTCTCCCCTCCTCGTCGCCCTCCTCCTTTTTCAGCGTGGCTCAAACTGAGGTTCGAGAGCCTGCTCTCTGTTGAGAGTCGGGTGTTCGCGCGCGTTGGCTCGAACACCAGATTTCTAAAGCGCCGCAGCGAGTGGCGAACCGTAACTCACCCCCCGTCCTCGCCGACCCGCCCCCACCCCCCCTCGGCCCAGTAGAAATTATAAAGTTCAATTGTGTTTTGATCAGGTACCTGACACATCATCGATTCAAGGAAGGCGCTATGGAACCCAAAACAGCGCTCAAGATGTCAGTATCAACGTAGTGCGCACGAAAGGAGCGTTGGCCTGTCTGGCCGCGCATTTGACGCGGTCAGCCATTAGTTTTTTTTGTGCGCGGCTGGCGTGCATTGCGCAAAAGATTGTTTTGCATACCAGCTGCGCCGAGTAGGTCTAGGTAGGTGCCAATCGCTAATTCGATCTGCGCCCCCAATGCATGGTTGCTCATGCGGCCCTGGCGCGGCATCTGCGTAGCGCGCGCATTGCCGACGATTTGTTTGCCGCTCAGTTGCACGGCGCCTACATCGGTCGCGGCTGCATGGCGGGCTTCTGAGCCGCGAAGTACTACTGGGGTAGCTGTCGCATATTGCGCGGGCGCGGAGCATATGGCAGCATGCGGTACTTTGGATGTGCAGAAGGCGCGCGGTACCCTGGTTGGTATCTCGAACGATTGCAGTGTTGTGCAGTGCGCCGTGTTCGCTATCCCAGCCGATGGCGTGTACTTCTCCAAATCACTGGTTCGCATGGCGCGCGCGCGAATACTTCTTGGTTTTTGGACCGACACATTGAATTGTGGGGCGTACCTTGGACTAGTACTTTGGGATGTACTTTGTACCTGGGAGCACTACTTTGGGACGTACTTTGCACTTTCGACAAATCGTCGGGGTACCTTGGGTTGTACTTTGTACCTGGGACCAGTACTTTGGGACGTACTTTGTACCTGCGACAGTACTTTGAGATGTACTTTGTACCTGGGGCCCGTACTTTGGGATGTACTTTGTACTTGGGACTAGTACTTCGGGGTGTACTTTCTACAGGCGACGGTACTTTGGGAGGTACATTGGGATGTGTTTTGGGATGCACTTTGGATTGTACTTTGTACCTGTGACCAGTACTTTGGGACGTACTTTGTACCTGCGACAGTACTTTGAGATGTACTTTGTACCAGGGACAAGTACTTCGGGATGTACTTTGTACCTGGGACCAGTACTTTGGAAAATACTTTGTGCCTTGGGCCAGTACGTCGGGATGTACTTTGTGCAGGCAACGGTACTTTGGACGGTACTTTTGGGCTGGCTGGGTACATTGGAAGGTACTTGTGTCGGGGCGGGGTACTTCGCGCAGTACTTTCGAGCGGCGGGGCTGTTTTCGGTGGTACTTGGAGACGTATTTCGGAACGTACTTCGCAGGCTACCTTTGCCGAGGGTGGTATAATCTACCGTCCCCTAGTTTGCATGTCCCAGCTGCCACGTTGCGTCTTCGTGCGCCAAGATGGGCACCTGCGGCAGCCAGGCGCGTTTTCATATAGCCTAAGATTTCCACCGCTCTACCCAGGCGCGCGCTAGTTTACATCTGCCTCGGCGCCGATCTATCCCAGGCGCCGCGAGATCAGCTGGGCAGGCGCGCGCGTGGGCTCGGGATTTTCCAAAGTCCCCCCCCTCCCCCCTTTTCTGGTGAAGGAGTTTGCTCAGCCCTCTGCCGCATGCGATTTTCGCAAAAGTCCCCTCCCACCCTCTCCATGCGGCTCGGATTTTTGCAAACCCCCCACCCCCCCCCCTCCGCGGTTGCCTTCCCCCCCCCCCCCCCCCTCCTGCGACGCTATTTTAAAATATTTTAGAATATGTCGCACATGCCTGGCTAGCTGCGCTGTGGATGCACTCCCCTTGCCGCCGAACCGCCGCCTGCGCTCGCCTGCTCGGCGAGCCTTTCATTTTTTTGGCAGCCCCTCCGCGATGGAGGCGTGATGTGCGTGCGCAGCGTCTGATGCAAAAAAAAACCCACCAACTCCTGCCTTTCCCCTTTCTCATTCCCCGAAGCGTTTTTTTTTTTTTTTGGGGGGGGGCTCACGGGGCCCAGGGCTTCTCATGGACCCCGAGGGCGCTAGGGAACCCAGCTGGGCTCTTTCGGGGGTTCGGGAGTCTCTCGGGTTCCCTCCCATCGGGCACCGCATGGGGGTCACGGATGGCAAGCGCGCCACAGGCTCGCCGCAGGGGTCGTGGTAAGGGCCTTGCGCTACCCCTCTTTTGAGAGCGCGGATT